TTTTTTTAAAAAGTATAATAACATACATTAGAGGGATTTTAAATAAAGAAAAGGTTTTACATAATAGCCTGCGTGGTTCGTTGTTTGTAGGCAGGATTTAAATAATGAATCTTTGCATGGACAGGTCAAGCAGCATTTTTATTCTGGGGTTTATAAGTTTGATTCGACTGCATTAGTTACTACTAATTAGAATGCTGAATGAGTGCAATTTGTTTTCCTGACACCAGGGAAAGTTCAGTGTTTATTTTGCAAAATAACATTTATATTTACTCCCAACAAGATGTACGAAATATCCCTTTCCAGTTTCTTTGACTTTACCTCTCAGGTGAATCGTCCTGCTGATGCACGTTATTCTCCACGAGGCTCCGGCTAAGAGTGAACTTTATGTTTGTCTCCAGGCCTCTCTTGTCCTGGGCCGCCAAACCGTGAGACAGGCCGTCCAGAGCTGGGTTGAGGGATCTCGACATGTAGGTGTCGGCCGAATGAGGTCTTTGATGAAAGGGTGAGGTAGGGCACGGGGACAGACGGTTGATTAATGGAGTAAGGAGGTCGGCGTGGCCAGCTTTGCTGGGCTTCACCAGCCGGTCCACGTGGATGTTGAGGGTCTTCTGCTGGAAGGCGCAGGTGAAGGCACCCGGGGAAAGATTCTGCAGCCAGGAGAGCAGCGACAAATCCAGCTCATCACAGCCGTTCCCACACAGCAAATCCACGCCAAGCAGCACCTCGCCCTCTGTGATCTCCTCTCCTGTTGCTTTACTCTACAAAACAGAAAAGCTTCTTAAAACCTATTCTATTTTTTCGGAGACACAAATGTGCGAAAACTAGACAGTTTGTTTTTTTAAACAAAAAAAGTAATAGGTTACTTTGCAATAAAACCCTTTTTTAGTAGTTTTGAACACCTCTGCAGGTTTGAGCCTTTTATCAGCCACTTAAGCCTAACTGTTAACCTTTTCACTAATAGCGCATCAGATTACCTGACAGAACTCTACACAGCACTCATAAAGGATCCCTTTGATTAGCAGCTGGAAGAGGCGGTTCCCGCTAGCCCTGAAGCCCGCCTCACTCAGCTTTCTGTCCGCAGGGATGAACTCGGCTACCATCGCGCAGGCCTCTTCGAAGCAATGCACTCGTGCCGTGCTCGGATTCCAGTCTTTGAACTCTGCGTGATGGGTGAGGCGTGGCAGTGTGAGGAGGAGACACAGCTTGCTGTAGTCCTCCTTGGTCGGACAGAACTCCTCCAGACTGTGCAGGCACTTTACTGCCTCTTGCATGGTGATCTCTAGCTGTAAAAGCAGAAAAATTCAGGCGGACCAGACAGTGATTATATTTTGGGGTGCTCAATACAGAAGCCCACTGGTGTTTTGACAGATAAAGGATGACATTAGC